ATTATTATTATTATTATTATTATTATTATTATTATTGTTATTATTATTATCATTATTATTATTATTATTGTTATCATTATTGTCATAATAATAATAATAATAATAATAATAATAATAATAATAATAATAATAATAATAATAATAATGATAATAATAACTATTATTATTATTATTATTACCCTGTTATCACAGGAAAAAGTTCCTGGTAAGTTCTTCCCGAAAGCAAGCTAGAACAACTAGCCTCAGGTTTCGAGAACCTTTCTCAAGGTTCTTGCAGTTCCTAACAACACCGTTTTCTATATCACTTCAGTCCTGATCTTGATCCCTATTTTTCTATGTACTGCTCTGCTTCTTTTGTGACGCATCCCAATGCACCAACTACAACTGGGATGACACTTACTTTTCGAAGGCACCATAACCTTGCGATTTCTCTTTTTAAATCTTGATACTTTTCGATTTTCTTTTGTTCTTTCTGTTTTATCCTTGTATCTCCTGACACGGCTATATCGATGATCAAGCACTCTTTTTCTGATTTTAGCTCGACGGCAATGTCTGGTCGCCTATGCTCAATTTCGTAATCTGTGTTTATGTTAAAGTTCCACAGTACCTTAATGTTTTCATTTTCAGTAACGCCTTCTGGCTTATGATTGTACCATTGTTCTGCCCTGGGTAGGTAACACTTCTTGCATATTGCCCAGTGAACTATCCGTGCTACGTTGTCGTGGCGTCGTTTATATTCCTTCTGGGCTAGTTTGCCACACTCACATATGATAAGGCTCACTGTGTCCCCCTTCTCACCACACACTCTGCAGGTTGGCGAATCTCTTGATTTGTCGATATGATGTTTGACGTAATTCGTATGTATTGCTTGCTCTTGTGCCACCATAATCTGTGCTTCTGTCCCTTTCTTCAAGTCTCCGTTTTTTAACCGTATCCATGATTTCTTCCTGTCTACTATCCCATCCGTATCTCTGAAAAACTGACCATGCATTATTATTATTATTATTATTATTATTATTATTATTATTATTATTATTATTATTATTATTATTTTCATTATTATTATTATCATTATTATCATCATTAATATTATTGTTATTATTGTTATATTTATTATTATTATTACTTTATTATCATTACCATTATTATTATTATCATAATTATTATCATTGTTACTATTGTTGTTATACAATAATAATAATAATAATAATTATAATAATGATTATTATTATTATTATTATTATTTTTATTATTATTATTATTATTATTATTATTATTATTATTATTATTATTATTATTATTATTATTATTATTATCATTATTATTATTACTATTATTATAATTATCATCATTATTATAATTGTTACTATTGTTGTTGTTGTTATTATTATCATCAATATATAAAATCACATTTACATACATATAGCGGAAGGAAGGTGATATATTTAATTTTTTTCCAACAAAGCACAAAATGTAAAAATAGCCCTTGGTCAGTGGCATCGGCGTTGGCACTTCCGGTTCAGGAGGAATATATAATGTATATTTTCCTCTTTATGTTGCGGTTAATCTGCATAGGGACGTCCATCTATTGTTTTCCTTTATTTGTGAGTTTGTGTTTGTGTTTGTTTGTTTGTAGGTGTGTGTGTGTGTGTGTGTGTGTGTGTGTGTGTGTGTGTGTGTGTGTGTGTGTGTGTGTGTGTGTGTGTGTGTGTGTGTGTGTTCGTGCGTGTGTGTGTGTGTGTGTGTGTGTGTGTGTGTGTGTGTGTGTGTGTGTGTGTGTGTGTGTGTGTGTGTGTGTGTGTGTGTGTGTGTGTGTTCGTGCGTGTGTGTGTGTGTGTGTGTGTGTTTACGTATGTGCTTGTGTTTGTGTGTGTGTTTTCGTATGTGTGCGCGCGTGTGTGTGTACGTGCACATGTACTATGTATGTATCATACAATGCCTACAGTTCGCATGTGTGTGAGCATAAATCTCCGGAAGAAGACACATAGTAATCGTGCTTGTACATGCTTGGGATTTTGAAATTAGAACAGAGAAAGGAAGAGAAAAGAAAAGAATTGAAAGGAAAGGAAAGGAAAGGAAAGGAAAGGAAAGGAAAGGAAACAGAATAAAACATAATAAATAAAATAAGATAAGAGAAGAAAAGAAAAAAAAAAAAAGAAGAGAAAAGAAGAGAAGAGAAGAGAAGAGAAGAGAAGAGAAGAGGAGAGGAGAGAGGAAAACAGAAGAGAAGAGAACAGAAAAGAAGAAAAAAGAAAAGAAAAGCACAGAAAAGAAAAAAAGAAAAACAAAGGAAGTGAAGAGAAGAAAATATAACAAAACTACTATAATATTTTTCTTTTTCACTGAACGAACCTCATACCTCATACCTCATACCTCACGAGCCTCATCTCTCTCCCATTCAGTTCAAGGCTTTCCTCTATAGGGAAAGTAAACAAGTGTAGAGCAGGTGTCGTGCAGAAGGGACATGGATGCTGACAAAATCACGGTCGTGTTTTGTCCACAATAACAATGACGACAGGAAAAGTGATGATGGTGAAGATAATTCGATTAAAATGTGATAGCAACGACAGTAATATTAATAATGGTGAGAATTATGATAATAATGACGCTAATAATGATAATAAAAACGATACTAATGATAATAATTCTACTACTACAAATAATGACGCTAATAATAATAAATAAATAAATAAAAACGATACTAGTGATAATAACTCTACTACTACAAATAATGACAATCATAATTATTGTAATAATTATATCAATGATAATAATAATGATAATAATAGTAATAATAATAATAATAATAATCATAATCATAATAATCATAATAATAATAATAATAATAATAATAATAATAATAATAATAATAATTTCAATAATAGTAATAATAATGAATGATAATGACAAAGTTAGTAATAATAATGATAATGATAGCAACATTCAAAATGGCATATTGACGAAAAAAACAAACAAAAACAAAAAAAAAACAGCAGCAAAAACATTCAGTTCGAAACAGGATTCTTTGAGATAACGAACTCATTATAATGAATCATCTTTTATTTACAATTACAAATTATTAAGATTATTTATTTTGCAATTATATATCATTATAATTATTTGTTTATAATCATGATTAATAATCACTTGTTTCAACCCGTTCCAGAAAGCAGGCGCTGGCTCGTGATGGAGGTTTGGAAGCAAGTTTTCTTTCTCCTTGCTTCGATAGCGGTAAATAATTTTTTTTGTGTGTGTGTTTTTCTCCTTTTGTTGTGAGGAATTATGAAGTAGGTCATTTAGGAATACAATGTAACAAAGGATAAAATCTGATCATTATCTTACTGTTATGGTTACGTATGGAGAACGACAGTACGTATGCAAAACATATATGTCTGTCTGTCTTTCTGGCTGTTTGTCTGTCTGTCTGTCTCTCTCTCTCTCTCTCTCTCTCTCTCTCTCTCTCTCTCTCTCTCTCTCTCTCTCTCTCTCTCTCTCTCTCTCTCTCTCTCTCTCTCTCTCTCTCTCTCTCTCTCTCTGTCTTTCTTACTCTCTCTCTGTGTCTTTCTTACTCTCTCTCTGTCTCTGTCCCTCTCTCTCTCTCTCTCTCTCTCTCTCTCTCTCTCTCTCTCTCTCTCTCTCTCTCTCTCTCTCTCTCTCTCTCTCTCTCTCTCTCTCTCTCTCTATCTATCTATCTATCTATCTTTTTATCTATCTATCTATCTATCACACTTTATGTTAGTTACAAAGATCCTAGGAGATATATATTATATTTTTATGACTCATTTACTACTATATTCCAGTGATAGGATCGCTTCATTAACATATTAACATATACCCCCTAAGTCGTTCCGGTATATGTAAATTACACTGTATGAATAACTTTTTCTATCTACCTGTCTATGTGTTCATTTATCTATCATCCATGCGTGAACAAATAAACACTTATACATACAAACATACACACATATACATCATACATCCGAACAAATATAAACAGAGATAGATAGGTAGATAGACACACACACACACACACGCACATACGATTTGAAGATGCAGAAGTTATTGCAGAATTCTCAAATATTAATTAATACAGTTATAGTCCATAAGACTTTTTTTCTAGCGTGTTGCGTTATGCAGTTGCTTGAAATAATTTCATTGTAATTCTTCACATTACTTTATTTGTCCATATCGATATGCGCAGTCTGAGTAATACATGAACTAATGATAAAAGTTGCAAACATTTCGCATTTTTAGAAAATATTTATCGATTGATTTTATTTCCGATTATGTTCTTCCTTCTTCCCTCCAGGTGTCTCGTGGCGTTGTCTTCTTCCCAGGTGCTAGCTCCAGCGAGGGAAATGTCCCTTCAACTGGGGAAAGTTTTCCGTCCAGTGGGGGAAATTTTCCTTCAACTGGGGGAAGTTTTCCGTCAACAGGAGGTTTCTTTCCTCCGCCTGGTAGCAACTTCCCCGTCCAGGGTGAGCATGTCCTTTTTAAAGCAAAAAACACTGACAAAATAATACATAATTCTTACATTTCGTTTGAAGGAATTATGTCTTATTTGTTATATAGCTTCTTTTTTTTTCTGTCTCTTTGCTTTGGTCCATCTGTTTGTGCATAGGGAGCGGCGGGGTGGGGGTGGTTTGTTTGCCGGTCTTTCCATCCGTCTATCCGTCTGTATGTCTGTTTCCGTCTATTTATCTGTCTGTTTGTCTGTCTGACTGCCTATCTTGTTGTCTACCTATCTGCCTTTCTTTCTTTCTCTCTCTCTCTCTCTCTCTCTCTCTCTCTCTCTCTCTCTCTCTCTCTCTCTCTCTCTCTCTCTCTCTCTCTCTCTCTCTCTCTCTCTCTCTCTCTCTCTCTCTCTTTCTCCCTTTCTCTATCTCTCTCTCTATACCCTTAAACCTCCAACCATGCATGCCCTTACTCGTCTTCACATAATGATACCAAAGACAACAAACGTTTTCCAACCCCTTCCATCCCACTCTGTCTTCTATACAGGACAAACGTTTTTCGTTCCCTGTGATTCACAAGTCGAGGTCTTTCCTGGCGTATCCTACAGCATAAGGAGTCCAGGGTATCCTTCTCCTTCGCTTCCTTGGACACTCTGCCGATGGTACTTCTTTGTAAGTCTTAGAAGGATGGATTCCTTATATTATCGTTTTTATGATTATTATTATTTTTACTGTCATTATCATTTTCATTATTATTATTGTTATTACTGTTATTACTGTTTCATTATTATTGTTATTGTTATTATCATTACTGTTGTTATAATTATGATTATTAATGTCATCATTATTATTATCATTATCATTATTAGCGTTATTACCATTATTAGCGTTATTACCATTACTATTATCAATAATATTGTTATTATCATTACTATTATCAATAATATTGCTATTATAATAATCATTTTTACCACCACTACGTCTGCAATACCAATTATTCCTAGAATTTCTACCACTACTCTTGCAACCACAACGACCACTAATAACTTCCAAGTTTATTTCCTTCACTCTTTAGACTCGGGATGTCTCTCGGCGCCTGACGATCACCTGCCAGGACTTCTCTCTGCCAGCCTCGTCAGATTGCAGGAGTGGGCCCTTCCTTGCCGTCGATTCAGGAAATAATGCGTATAAGTGGTCAGTGGTGCTGTTTTTTACGTGTTTTGATTTTTATGTGTGTGACTGATGATTGATAAGCGTTTGGGTTGATTTGTTGCTTGTATTTTGTATTCATTTTTAAGGAATTTTTTTTTTTTGTATTTTTTTTTGGTGTTGTTGGTGTCTTTCTTTTCCTTTTCTTTTGTCCCACGTGTTTTCATTCTCCTTATCGTTTGGATCACCATTTTCTTTAATTTCTACTTTTTTTTCTTTGTTCTCTTCATTCTTATTGTTATTTTTTTCTTATTCGAATTCAGAATTTCGCTTTTCTTCTTCACTTCACCTCTTCGCTTCTTTCTTGTTCTTCTATACCTACTTGTTATTTTCCAGTGTTTTTTTTTTTTTTATTTATGTTGATGAAACGGGAAAAGACATTACACTAAATATCCTGTAAACGTATAGTATATCTATTATTGTTCTTATTACTTTTATTATAATCATCATCATTGTCATCATCCTCATACACATCAATATCATTATCATCATTACCATTATCATCATCATCACCATTGTCCTCATCATCACCATTATCATCATCACCATTATCATCATCATCACCACTGTCATCATCATCATCATCATTATCATCATCCTCACCATTATCATCATCATCACCATTGTCACCATTATCACTATTATCATCATTATCATCACATCATCATAACTAACACCATTACTATTACCACCCGTATTACCATTACCCTCCACCTCTTATCCAAATATTTTCTCGTTTCCCTATCTCCTTTCCCTATCTCGTTTTCCCTATCTCCTTTCCCTCCTGCAACAGGTTCTGCGGCGAGAACGGACCACGAAACGTCGCCTCAACAACTAACATCCTGGAGGTCGTGTTCTGGAGCAGCTGGATCACCTCCACCGCCTCCAAAGGGATCAGCTGCTCGGTGGGAATCGCTTCCGCCGATACTGCTTCTCGCGTCTGTAGTGAGTTTAGGGTTCGATTCGGTTTGAGGTCCTGTCGAGATGCTTTTTTTTTTTTTCTTTACTGCGCTGGATATTTCCTCTTTGGTTTGGGATTTAAGTAGTTTAAATTGTTTAAGTTAGGGTAGATAATTGATAATAAAGAGATAATTGTTGTTTGAATATTGTTTTTTTTTCAAGTATCTATATTTCTGTTTATTTGATTTAAGTAGTTTAAATTGTTTAAGTTATGGTAGAGATAATTGTTGTTTGAATATTGTTTTTTTCTTCAAGTATCTATATTTCTGTTTATTTATCTGTCTATTCATCTATCCATTTATACTTGTATAGTCGCATACACACATAGAGAGCGAAATCGAGAGAGGGAGATAGATAGATAGACAGAGAGAGAGAGAGAGAGAGAGAGAGAGAGGGAGAGAGAGAGAGAGAGAGAGAGAGAGAGAGAGAGAGAGAGAGAGAGAGAGAGAGAGAGAGAGAGAGAGAGAGAGAAAGAGAGAGAGAGAGAGAGAGAGAGAGAGAGAGAGAGAGAGAGAGAGAGAGAGAGAGAGAGAGAGAGAGAGAGAGAGCGAAAGAGTGAGAGAGCGAGAGAGAGCGAGAGAGAGCGAGAGAGAGAGAGAGAGAGAGAGAGAGAGAGAGAGAGAGAGAGAGAGAGAGAGAGAGAGAGAGAGAGAGAGAGAGAGAGAGAGCGAGAGAGAGAGAGAGAGAGAGAGAGAAGGAGAGAGAGAGAGAGAGAGAGAGAGAGAGAGAGAGAGAGAGAGAGAGAGAGAGAGAGAGAGAGAGAGAGAGAGAGAGAGAGAGAGAGAGAAAGAGAGAGAGATCCTCCACCGCCCACGCCAACCCACCCCTCTCTCTCTCTCTCTCCCCAGGGTGCGGCCAGCGTGGTACGAACAACCGTATAGTGACTGGCCTGGAAAACAACAGGGTGGTAGGTGGAGTGGCTGCCCGTCTGCATGAGTTCCCTTGGCAAGTGCTGCTGCTACTGCCCGAAAACCGATTCTGTGGCGGCGTCCTTATCAACGAGCTCTTTGTCCTCACGGCCGCCCACTGCATACGCCCGTGAGTATGTGCGGATTCCTCGGCGAAATGGTTGGCTTGTCATTAGCTCTCGTTTTTTTTCTCTCTCGTTTCTCTTACAAAGCTTCGTTTTATCACTCTGAAAATGCGATTTATATATGATTTAAGGCATGATCAAAAAGATAAAAAAGGTAAAAAAAAAATACTCAAACCAACCCACAACAAGCAATATAAATATTTAAACAGAATAGATAGAATAGTATCCTATAAAAAGACACAAACCCAACACGAACGCTTGCCCTACCCGCCTCCGGCCCCGCCCTCGCCAGACCGGCCCTCTCAGGAACCGCCCTCCCCGAGGTGGTGGTGGGCGAGCACGACCGATCCCGCGCCGACGAGACCGCCTCCACGCAAAGGCTCTCCGTCGCGAGGGTGATCGTGCACGAGGGCTTCAACGACTCGGTCTCCAGCGATAACGACATCGGCCTCGTCCAACTGTCCTCCGCCCTCGATTTCACGGCTACTTGGCCCGACGTCGCCCCTGCGTGCCCCCCCGACGCCCTCAGCGCCTACGACGACGTCACCGTCACCGTTGCAGGGTACTGTTGCTTCCGTTGCTGTCGCTAGTTTTTCTTTCTGTTGTTTCGTACGCTTTCTTTCTTTCGTTGTTCCTTTTTCGTTTTCTGATACGTTAATTTCTTATTTCTTTTTCTCTTTCCATATCTCTTTTTCACTGTTTCATTCGTTGCATTATTTTTTTTTTACATTGCTCATGTAAATTACATTGCTCATGTAAATTACATTGCTCTTGTTATTTGTACTTTCCTCTTGTTTTATCCTTCACTGTCTTGTCTGCTTTTCATTGATTTATTTTGCTTTCTCTTTCTCCTTATTTTTTTTTATCACATTCTCTCTCTTTTTTTGCTGTCTCTCTCTTTTTCTTATTCTTATGGTTCTATTTTCTATTTCTTTCTTTTTTTTCCTGCTCTCTTTCTTTCCTCCTTGTTCTCTACTTGTTTTGTTTTATGTTTTTTCTCTCTCTTTATCTCGTTCTTTGTCTTTTTTTTCTCTTTCTCTCTTTGTTCTTTCACCTCTTTCTGTGCTTTCTCCCTCTTTCCTAATTCCTTTTCTTTGCAATTTTACGACTTTTTTTTCTTGGCCATATAACTATTCTACTGATACTTAGCAAATAGAATAGACAGATAGACAGACAAACAGACTGATAGACAGATAGACAGACGATCATTTATACATAATATATATATAAACAAAGAAAAAAAATAAATCATATATACCGTATTTTTCATTATCTTTTCTCTTCAGTCACTCACCTTTACCATTATTATTGTCAGATGGGGTTACCTAAGTTACCCCACGAATCCGACTTTGCCAAGGGTCCTGCAGAAAGTGGATGTGCAGACCGTGCCCGTGAGCGAGTGCATGACGCAATACAAGGCAGGAAAAGTGACGAGCAATATGATCTGTGCGTCGGCTCCTGGGAAGGATGCGTGTTTTGTGAGTTTTTGTTTATTTATTTATTTAATTAGTTTTTTTTTTTTTTTTTTTTTTTGGGGTGGTGGTGGTGGTGGGGAGTATTTGATTGGTTTAAGTTTTTGAGTTTTTGTTTTGTTTTATATTGATGAGAATATAGATTTATTTACTTTTGTTGGCGTGGGTTTGTGTTCATAATCTCTCGTTCTTCAGTTCCTGCTCTCTCTCTCTCTCTCTCTCTCTCTCTCTCTCTCTCTCTCTCTCTCTCTCTCTCTCTCTCTCTCTCTCTCTCTCTCTCTCTCTCTCACTCTCTCTCTCTCTCTCTCACTCTCTCTCTCTCTCTCTCTCTCTCTCTCTCTCTCTCTCTCTCTCTCTCTCTCTCTCTCTCTCTCTCTCTCTCTCTCTCTCTCTCTCTCTCTCTCTCTCTCTCTCTCTCTCTCTCTCTCTCTCTCTCTCTCTCTCTCTCTCTCTCTCTCTCTCTCTCTCTCTCTCTTCTCTCTCTCTCTCTCTCGCTCTCTCTCTCTCTCTCTCTCTCTCTCTCTCTCTCTCTCTCTCTCTCTCTCTCTCTCTCTCTCTCTCTCTCTACTATCTTCCCTCCCTCTTATTTCTCTTTCTTCCTCTTTTCCTCCCCTTTTCTTTTTTTTCTCTCTCTTTTCCTTCTCCCTTTTTATCTAACTATTTAGATATCTATCTACCTCCCCTGCTATACCTCGTTCCAACCTCTGTCTCTCTCTATCTCTCGTCTCGCAAAACGCAACCACTTTGAATAAATTAACAGCACACAGTTACTTGTAAAGAATAATAAAAATAACTTAAATCACTTTTAATAAAATCACTTAAAAAAACATACACACACAATCACACACACACACAAAAAAAAAACACACACA